AATATCTACTCAAATTATTTGCTCATTTTGAAATTTGGTGATCTGACTTTCATTTGTTGAGTAGTAGTAATCATTCCTATACATATGTGTATATATATATATATATACACATCTACCATATAGATAAATGAGCCTAGAAAGTTATATATATATATATATATATGTCGCAATGATTTTCTCCCATTATTAGCATTTTATATCACTTTCTTGAAGCATAACTATTTTCAATCCTAAAATAATTTATTTTATCTACTTCTTAGCTTCTTGAACTGTGGGTCACAACCCCATATGAGTTATATAAATTTGTAAATACTTCCTTTAAAATAAATTTTTTATGCATGATGATCAATAACAAGTCTCACAATGGAGACGTTATTGGTGCCTGTTGTAGTAAATCGATGAACAACAGGAAGACAGTGCTACCACAGTGCTACAGGTGATCAATAAATGTTTTATTTGCATATCTATTTTATATACCCAGAATCATATAAAAATTTCTTGGATATAAAGGGGTTAAAAGTAGAAAAAGCTTAAGAAACTCTGATCTATCTTTTCTTTTGTTGCTTATGCTTTTCATGTCATAGTAAGAAATAGCTGCCTAACTTGAAGTTATTGCATTAATTTGTTTATTGAATCACCATGAGATACAGAGGTACAAAGCTGTTCATGGTCTGGTTTCAGTCATATAGTGTTCCAGTACCCATCCCTCCACCAGGGTACCTTTCCCACCACCAATATCCCCAGTTTCCCTCCCATCAGCCTGTCTCTTGTCAGGCCCTTTCTCCCTTTCTCTTTCTCTGTTTCTCTCATACATACATACACACACACACACACACACACACACACTCTCTCTCTCTCTCTCTCTCTCTCTCTCTCTCTCTCTCTCTCATTTTATGCATGATGGTTTGCAATACAGATACTGGGAAGTTATCATGCTTGTCACCCACTTTCAGCATGCAGTTCTTATCTAGTATGATCATTTCCAAGTATTTTTGTCCGAGTAGTCCCTTCTCTATCACAACTGTCTTCTCTTCCCGGGACCTGAGATAGGCTTCCAACTGGGCCCAATTCTCCTGGCCCTTGTTTTTACTGTCCTTGGGCATTAGTTTCACATTTTATTTTTTTAAATCCCACAAATGAGTCCAATAATTCTATGTCTGTCCCTCTCCTTCTGACTCATTTCATCAGCATGTCCATTTATTTATAAGCAAATTTCATAAAAGTTGTCTATCTATGCCTGTTTCCTTCTACCAGTTTTATAATTTCAACATTTAAATTGATGTCTTTGATCTATTTTCGATTTCTTTAAATGTGATAGTAATGTGATACCTTCTTAAGCATACATGTCCCGTTGTCCTATCACCATTTGTTCCAAAGACTCTTCCCCTAGTGGCTGATACTGGAAGATTTTTTGAAATTTAGCTAATCATAAAAGTTGTCTTTTCCCCCCTGGGAGCCCTCTTGACGTTGCTTTTGTATTTTAATATTTAGACTTTTCTATGTTTAAAAAATTTCATATGAACTATAGAATATTTTAATCTCTAAAAAGAATTTCTATAAGAATTGCATTTTAGGAGCTGGAGAAATAGTCTAGAGGTTCTCCCAGGGTGTATGATTTCATATGACCGACCCAGGATCAACTTCCATTACCACATCGTCCACAAGAATCACTCAGAGTGGTCCCCCTGAACACTGTGAGGGTGCCTTGGGTGATATCCAGCACTGCAGGGCTCCCTCGTACATCTTTGGTTGCTCACATTGAACCATAGTCCAGTTGGCTGATGGGTCATGAGCTGTTTGACAGTGCCAGGGGTGGAAATCACCATAATTACCCAGTTTTCAGGATTTTAACAAAAGTGGCAGGGTCCAGACCATTTTGTGGAGTCCTTTGAATCTGAGTGTTCTAAATAAGTAAGTCAAATGAATGTCCTCAGAAGTTCCCATTCAGCTAATGGAAAACCTATGCTCCTGTTACAGTTAAGATCTAGTCTTCGAAGACTTGATGGCAAAGCTGTTGAGGGGCTCCATGGATAACGGCCTTCAATGCTGTCTCTGTGACTCTTTGAAGATAAGGAAAACCCAACAAAAAGCTGTTACCATAGAAAGTGAACAGACAATGTAGCCAAATATGTAACTACAAAATATTTTCTAGTTTCTAATTACTGGATGGAGGCAGTCTTTTCAGTATTATATCTGCAATCTTTATTTGGACAACACAGTAGCATTCTGTTGCATAATACTCTGAGATGATATTCAAGCCTAAGAACAGGCCAAATTAGAGAGTTAATGGAGAAGCAAAGGTCTTAATGAATTCCAATACTTGCAAGCTCTGTTTTAATTTATAGTAAATAATGGTTTTTTCTTTAACTGGTGGTATAGGGTCCCATTTTGTCAAGACAATTTGTATGTGTCAGAAACTTAAATGTATTAATTATTGAATGTCCATCACCACTGTCAGGTGTTTTAGGGCAACGGATGATTTGACTCTGGGGAATTTAGGCAACATGATAGTTTCTGTGATTAAGGGAAAGAATGCTAATTCACTGTTGAATTACTCTGTTTTTAATTCAGAAACTCCCTTATGATTTTGTTCTAGAGGACACATTGTTTAGATTTAATGACACCCTCAGGTATAATTTTTTTATATATTAAAAATTGTAGTTTGAATCCAGTATTAGTTAAGTCCAAGGAGGTTTGCTTCTTGGTGCATTTAAAAAGTTCAAGCTGGGGAAACAGTATATCAGTTAAGGCACTTGCCTTACACCCAGTCATCCTGTGTTCAATCCCTGGCACCCCACATGTTCCACAGGGCACTTCCAGAAGTGATCACTGAGCACAAATCCTCAAAAACAGCTGAATTTGACCCAAAATAAAAGGAAGAAAAAGTTCAAGTTGGGATGATGAGATAATATAGGGGTCAAGGCACTTGCCTTGCATGTGGCTGATCCCTATTCGATCCCCAGCATTGCATATGATCCCCTGAGCACCACTGAAGGTAGCTCAAAAACCGAAACAAAGAATGTAGAAGTGCCAGTTAATTCAAAAGCTATATTGCAGAGCAGGGTGTCTCTAAATGGCTGTACCTTATCACCCTCCACATCTGAGGTGGTTGCTTGAAAGATACAGAAGGGTGGCAATAGACTGATCAGGTGTGTGTGTGTGTGTGTGTGTGTGTGTGTGGTGATGGGGAAATGTTTTCTGTTTGTTCCTTGAAGAAGATAAATTTCTTTACCCCGAGTAACGTTTTTTCTGAAAAGAGATTAAGTCAGTCACTCTTAATAAATTCTTAGAGTAAGTTTGGATTTCCAGTTGGATTCAACAGCGCATTTTAATATTTGTTTACTTTTCTATGTCTGGGTTTTTTGGTCTTTTTAAAAAAATTTTACATCTCAGCGCTCTTTCCCACCTTGTTATTTTTCCCTTCGTTGTGTTTACTGGGAGTATAGAGGGGAGTGAAGGAATGCCTTGTGAGAAGCTCTGGGCTCTATGCTGTTCTAAGTTTCCCCTGAGGAGCCTCTAGTCAGTTGCAGGTGGGGGTTTCCTCCTGGCAATGGTTGCTGTGGGATTTCAGGGCCCAGAAAGAAGACAGGGTTGGAAGGAGCTGCTGCGCAGTGCCTGGAAAACTCCAAAGTGCCGCTCTCTTTATCTGTAGGGAACAGGATTTTTGGTGTGGCAGAAGCACAAGCAGCCCAGCATAGAGGTTTGAAGGCTCCTGCTGAGCCATCTGCGGGGCACAGTGCAGACCTCAGCGCTTTGCATAATGGCTTTTTCCCTCTTTGCATTTTTCTCCATAATGACTACTTTCTCATGAGTGCCTACGCAGTGGGTCTGCACATAGCATGCTTTCTCCTGAGTTTAGCATTAGTCACAACCTAATTCTAAGTCAAGCAGGTAGAGCCAAACAAACAGACAAGACCCAAGGTCACTTGAAGAAGGACTTCAATAAATCCCATATTACTGTTTTGAAAAAAAATGAATGGATTATTAAAGCTTCCTACTTACATCAGCTAAATCCTGAACAGAGAATCTTGTCAGAATCTTGTCAGTGATGCAGTACTGAGCAGCACAACTCAAATTGTAGCCAAATAAGGTGCAGTTCAGGGTGCCTGAATGCTCTGCCAGCACTGTGTTGGTCGGGAGCTCCAGGGTCACCCTGGCAATGTTTTGGGACCTTCAGAGAGAGGCCCAGTGATACTTACGTGATCATGGGAGAATCAAACTCGAGTCTTGCATGGATCATAACCAGTATTCTTGTATGCACCATTACCCCGGGCTCAAAAGACAGGGAAGTTTTTGTAGAGAAAGTGAATAATGAAATAATGTTCAGATGAAGAGTTCCCAGCATAAAAGTAGCTTAATGTTGACTTTCTTGGTCCAGTGGTAGGGCGTTTGCCTTGCACGCAGTCAACATGGCCGACCGGAGTTCGATTCCTCCGCCCCTCTCGGAGAGCCCGGCAAGCTACCGAGAGTATCTCATCCGCACGGCAGAGCCTGGCAAGCCACCCGTGATGTATTCGATATGCCAGACACAGTAACAACAAAGTCTCCAATGGAGATGTTACTGGGCCCGCTCGAGCAAATCGATGATCAACGGGAGGGCCTTTACCTTTACCTTTTACCTTTTAAAATGTGATGTTCTTATTCTTGGTCGCTTTTTATTTTATTTCATTTTATTTTATTTGCTTTTTGGGTCACACCCGGTGATGCACGGGGGTTACTCTTAGCTCTACACTCAGGAATTACTCCTGGCAGTGCTCAGGGGACCATATGAAATGCTGGGAATCAAACCTGGGTCGGCCGTGTGCAAGGCAAATGCCCTACTCGCAGTGCTATTGCTCCAACCCCTTGGTCACTTTTTATTTATTTTTAAATTTTTATTAGTGAAACACCATGAGGTACAGCTGTAAAAATGTAAAGGGGCGGGGCAGGCGCGGGGCAGGCGCGGGCCGGGCGGGCGGGCGGCGGGCGGGCCGGGCGGCGGCGCTGACGCGGGTCTCGCGCAGGGCGCCTTGTGCGGCGGAGCCGAGCCTGCAGCCTCCCGCGTCCCCGCCGAGCAGCCGAGTCGGGCCCGCCGCGCACGGAGCGCCGACAGCCGACACGCAGCCGCCATGGCGCTGAAGCGGATCAATAAGGAACTTAGTGATTTGGCCCGTGACCCTCCAGCACAATGTTCTGCAGGTCCAGTTGGGGATGATATGTTCCATTGGCAAGCCACCATTATGGGACCTAATGACAGCCCATATCAAGGCGGTGTATTCTTTTTGACAATTCATTTTCCTACAGACTACCCCTTCAAACCACCTAAGGTTGCGTTTACAACAAGAATTTATCATCCAAATATTAACAGTAATGGCAGCATTTGTCTCGATATTCTAAGATCACAGTGGTCTCCTGCTTTAACTATTTCTAAAGTTCTTTTATCCATTTGTTCACTGCTATGTGATCCAAACCCAGATGACCCCCTAGTGCCAGAGATTGCACGGATCTATAAAACAGACAGAGATAAGTACAACAGAATATCTCGGGAATGGACTCAGAAGTATGCCATGTGATGCTACCTTAAAGTCAGAATAACCTGCATTATAGCTGGAATAAACTTTAAATTACTGTTCCTTTTTTGATTTTCTTATCCGGCTGCTCCCCTATCAGACCTCATCTTTTTTAATTTTATTTTTTGTTTACCTCCCTCCATTCATTCACATGCTCATCTGAGAAGACTTACGTTCTTCCAGCTTTGGACAATAACTGCTTATAGAAACTATAAAGTAGTTACAAGAGAACAGTTGCCCAAGATTCAGAATTTTTTTTTAAAAAATGGAGCATGTGTATTATGTGGCCAATGTCTTCACTCTAACTTGGTTATGAGACTAAACCATTCCTCCCTGCTCTAACATGCTGAAGAAGCCATCTGAGGGGAGATGGCGGGGGGCTCGGTGGTCACATCGCGAAGCAGCATTGTTTTAGCAGCACCCATCCTGTCTAAGCCTTCCACTGTTAGAGATGCGAGGTTACATGATATACTTTATGCTCATAACTGATGTGGCTGGAGAATTGGTATTGAACCTATAGCATCAGCAGAACAGAAAATGTGATGTATTTTATGCATGTCAATAAAGGAATGACCTGTTCTTGTTCTACAGAGAATGGAAATTGGAAGTCAACACCCTTTGTATTCCAAAATAGGGTCTCAAACATTTTGTAATTTTCATTTAAATTGTTAGGAGGCTTGGAGCTATTAGTTAATCTATCTTCCAATACACTGTTTAATATAGCACTGAATAAATGATGCAAGTTGTCGATGGATGAGTGATCAACTAATAGCTCTGCTAGTAATCAATTTATTTTTCTTCAATAAAGTTGCATAAACCAAAAAAAATAAATAAATAAAAAAAAATGTAAAGGTAAAGGCCCTCCCATTGATCGTCGATTTGCTCGAGCGGGCCCAGTAACGTCTCCATTGGAGACTTTGTTGTTACTGTGTTTGGCATATCGAATACTCTCAGTAGCTTGCCAGGCTCTCCGAGAGGGGCGGAGGAATCAAACTCAGGTCGGCCATGTTGGCCACTTGTAAGGCGAACGCCCTACCCGCTGTGCTATTGTAGACTTACAAATTTTTGTGATTGGGTTTCAGTTATACAATGATTGAGTACCCATCCCTTTACCTTGGTCACTTAAAAAAAAATTATTAGTGAAACACCATGAGGTACAGTTGTAGACTTACAAATTTTTGTGCTTGGGTTTCAGTTATACAATGATTGAATACCCATCCCTCCACCAGTGCCCATTCTCCACCACTACTGATCCCAGTATCCCTCCCATCCCCCATCCCTCCCATCCCACCCTACCTCTGTGGCAGGGAATTCCCTTTTGTTATCTTTCTCCTTTTGAGTGCTGTGGTTTGCAAAAGAGACATTGAGTGGCAACCATGATCGGTCACTTTTTAGATTGCTCAGATTTCGCCAAGTTTTTGTAAGCAAGTTCCTCCAAAATGGCTGCTTCTGCTCTGTTCTTAATTGGTTCCACTTATGTCAACTTTAATACCATACGCAAGGCTAAATGGTATGGGGGATTCTTATATATATATATATATATATACACACACATACACACACACACATATATATATATATCTGAGGTTTCTGGGGAAAGCAAAGAAGGCCTTTAAATGTTTCAAATGGCTAGAGATAGCAAGGGAAGGTCACTGAAATGTTTTTGAAATTGTTAGAAAGTTCTGGCAAAGGTGAAGATTCCCATGAAGTGATCAAAGGCTTGTATAGTTTGAAATGCCTTTTGGTGCCAATGGAAGAAGCACTGGGCATGCTTATCAAGTTTTCCTAAACGTGGGGCAGAAATTAGGATGCAAGTGTGTAAAAAGGAAAACATTGTGTTTAAGATTTAATAGGAAACAACAAAAGAAAACATAAAATAGAGTTTTACCCTTTTTAAAACTACAGTTCCTATTTTATTATTCTTGATATTATTGTTAATGAAAATGTTTTCTAGAGTCTTTCTTGAAACATTCTTGGAAATCTATAAAAATGCAGGTGATGTTTTTTATGTTCAGTTTTATGCTATAAACTTGTTGAATTCATTTATTAGTTCTTGTCTTTTTAATGAATTTCAGAGGGTTTTCTATATCAAAGAAATCTTTATATGCTTGCCTAAATTTATTGACACAAACTGTCTATAAAATATTTTAGTGACGGGAGCAGACATCCTTTGTCTTACATTCCTTTGGGAGAAACATTTAGTCCTTTTTCAGTGAATAGTTTATGCTTTTTACTTAGCAAATTGAGAATATCTTTTGTTCATAGTTAAGTGTTTTTCACTATGAAGTGCTTTTATAGATTTTCAAGTGACTTTTCTGCATCTATTGAAATAATCATGTAGTTTTTCTTCATTAACATGGTGTAGTATACTGTTTCTTCTAGTTGTTATATTTTTTGGGGGGAATGGGTGGAGCCCACCCAGCAGTGCTCAGGTCTTACTCCTGGTGCTCAGGGATTGCTCCTGGAAGGACTCAGGGACCATATGAGGATCTAAAGATTGAACGCAGGTCAGCTCCATACAAGTCACCCAGTATTATCACCTACCTGGTGCACTATCACTCCAGCTCTGTTTATTATTTGTATTATTTAAATATATATTAGGTTATGTTTTTATAATAGTGTTAATGTTTATGATTTTTATGTGCACTATTTCTTTACCTTGCCACCGAAGTGTCGAGACTCTCCAAGCCCCTCTGCTATTTTCAGTCCACCTCATCATTTATCCGACCCACATTTTTAAGAGAAAAATTCCACTTACTATTTTATTGTTTCGTTTTTTACATGCCGCAGATAAGTGAGGACATCCAATATTTTGTTCTCTAGTTCATTTTGCTTAACGTGATATTCTACAGTTCCATTCAAGTTGCAGCACATGATTTCATCATTTCCTGTGGCTGCATAGTACTCCACTATATATAACAGTTTCTTTATCCAGTCATCTGTTGTTGGGCATTTTGGCTGTTTCTGTATGCTGTTTTATTGTGCTAAGTGCTGAATTAACATAATTGTGCATATATATTTCTTGAATGAATGTTTCATGTTTTGCATTAGATGCAAAGAAGTTGAATCACTGAGGCCTGTATAATCTTTATTCTTACCTTTAAAGAAATTTCTATTCATTTTTCCATAGAGATTGAACAAAATAACATTCTCACTAACAGTGAATGAGGATTACTACTACATCCCTAACAATTCTGGTTATTTCAGGTTTTTTTTTTATTATGCACCATTCTCACTGGTATGAGATGGTATCTTATTGCCATCTTAATGACTTTCCCTGATAATACATGATGAAAATCACGATAACGATCACGATCATCCTGTTGTTTGTCGATTGCCTCAAGCAGGCCCCAGTAACGTCTTCTTCGTCCTAGCCCTGAGTTTTAAAAAGTGCCATATTCAAGGCTCTTTCAGGGTTAGGAGAATGAGACCCATCATTGTTACTGGCATTTGGCATATTGGGTACGCCACGGGGAGTTTGCCAGACTCCGCCATGTGGGCAGGTTACATTCGGTAGCCTGCCAGGTTGTCCAAAGTAAGAATGAGATAATAAGATGTCCGAGAGCTGGGTTTTATAGTCTCTGGGTCTTGACCGTTGATGGGATTACACGGTGCCAGGGGGCCGGTTGGTGGGTGTGACCCCTGCCTACTGGAAGATGGAGGATCTGGGTGGAGGATGCTCAGCCCCAATCTCTGCCACATGATGATGAACACTTTTTAATTTGCCTTTTGACCATATATCATCTCCATAAAACGTACTATACATCTCCCTTCCCATTTTTGATGCAGTTATTAGTTTTTCCATTGTTAGGTTTTTTGATGCAGTTATTAGTTTTTGATGCAGTTATTCCCATTTTTTGATGCAGTTATTAGTTTTTCCATTGTTAGGCTTTGTTAGTATTTTCTGAATCTTTGATACTAGTCTTTTATCAATATAATTGTATATTGATAAAATATATTTTTTATAATACTCTCCTCCCATTGTTCATCAATTTGCTCGAGTGGACCCAATAACGTCTCCATTTTGAGACTTGTTGTTACTGTGTTTGGCATATCGAATACGTCACGGGTAGCTTGCCAGGCTTTGCCGTGCAGGCGAGATACTCTCGGTAGCTTGCTGGGCTCTGCGAGAGGGCCAGAGGAATCGAACCTGGCTCGGCTGGGCTGGCTGCAGGCAAGGCAAACGCCCTACCACTGTGCTATCACTCCAGCCACTTTTCGAAAATATTATGCAGACTGTTTTTCAATTTGGTGGGCTTCTTTTGCATGTAAAACCTTTCTAATTTGATATAGTCCCATTTTTCTAAATTTTTTGGCTATCTCTGACAATGAGCTGGAGCTGGAGCAATAACACAGCGGGTAGGGCATTTGCCTTGCATACAGCCAACTGGGGCGACCTGAGTTTGATTCCTTCGCCCCTCTTGGAGAGTCCGGCAAGTTACCGAGAGTATCTCGCCCACACGGCAAAGCCAGGCAAGTACTCGTGATGTATTTGATATGCCCAAAACAGTAAAAAGTCTCACAATGTTATTGGGCCTGCTCGAGCAAATCAATGAACAATGGGAGGACAGTGACAGTGAAAGAGATCTCTGCCAATGAAATCATATCATTGAAAGTCCCTCCAAGTGAGGCCCATATCCTTGGGAGTTCTCCCTATATTTTTCTCAAAATATTTTATTGATTCTGGTCTCAGTGTCTTCAGTTTCTTTAAATTGACTTTTGCGTATGTTGTGAGGTACAGTCCCAGTTTCAATTATTTTCATGTAGTTTTCATGTTTTCAACACCATTTCTTAAAAAGATTTTTCTTCTTCATGTTTCTTTGTCATAAACTGACTGTCCATATATCTGAGGGCTTTCATTGGCTTTCATTTCAATATTACATAGGTCTGAGAATCAATCTTGATTCTAGTATAGCACTTGTTTTGAATCTGTATATTTAGAGTATATTTATGTGTTCATAAGTTTTGTGTATTCATTCTTTAGCCTACAACCAATTTTATATATTCAGTTTTTAGCCTGCTACTTTTGCTTCATTGGATTATTTCTTCTAAGAGTTTATTTATGGAGTTTTTAGGATCTTCTACCTATATTATCATGTCATATGCCAAAAAAAGTGATATTTAACTTTCTCTTTCATAATTTTGATCTCTTTGATTTCTTTTTTCTCCAATTGCTGTGGTGAGGATTTCCAAGACCACTGGGGAATAGTAGAGAAAGTATACATCCTTGCCAGGTCTCCTAAGGAAGATTTTTAATTTTTAGCTATTGAATATGAATGATTTGGCTGTGGGTTTGTTGTAAATGGGCATCAACGTAAAGAGGAATGTTCCTTCTATCCCAGTTTTGTTTACAGCTTTTATCATGAATAAATCTTAAACAATGACTTTGAACCAGCATTTATTTAATGGTTTATTTAGCAGTCAGAGGAATCCATTGATATCATTATATGTTTTTAATTTATCCTTATGTTGATGCCATGTATTTCATTAGTTTTTATTTGTTAAGCTTGAATCATCATGCATGCCTGAAATGAATCTCTCTTAATCATGGTGTGTAAGTCTTTTACTATATTGATGGATTTAGGTCATCAACATTTTTTTAAGGATTTTTCATTGATGTTCAGGGTTATTGGTCTGTAATTTTCTTTTTCAGTAACATTTTTGTCCACTTCTGCTATTATTGTAATGCTGCCTTCATAGAAGCTATTAGGAAGAATTTATGTTTCTTTTTTGCATAGCTTAAAGTCTATGTCTATTAAGTTTTCTTTGAAGATTTGATAGAACTCACTACTCTGGACCTGGGCTTTTGTTCTTGGGAAGATTTTTAATTTTAGTTTTAATTTGCTCATAATTGATCTGTTCAAATCTTCTACTTCCTCCTAATTCAATCTTGGGAATTTGGATGATTTTAAGAATTTAGGCATTTCTTCAAAGTCCACCAGATTGTGGCATAGAGAATTCCTAATTCTTCCTGTACATACATAGTATGTATGTAGTATGCACAGTGGGATATAGTTGTTTGTAGTATTACTTATTATCTTTTATATTTCTAAGATTTCTTGTAGTTTTTTCACTTTAATTTCTGGTCCAATTTATTTTTACTCTCTCTTCTTTTTCCTTGTTGCCTAGTTAAGAGGTTATCATGTTTATTATATCTTAAATATATAGTAAAATAATACACCCACCAACTGCCCCAGTGCCGTGTAATCCCATCAGCGGCCAAGACCCAGAGACTATAAAACTAAGCTACCGGAAGAGAACAAAACAGAGTCTCCTGCCTGGCTATCCTCATCAGGGCCCCTTGGGGGCGGGCGGGTTGAGTTTCCCTCCCCACCCCAAGCAGAGCCCCAGCAGCTGAAGACCACCAGAATCAGCCACAGCCATGCTTAAGACCACTCTCCACATGCTCAGACAAGCCTTATGCATCAAGGAACCAGCAGAGGAACCCAGGTGTGCGGGACCCAGGGCTAAGATCTCCTAGGATGCTTGGATCAGGACTGGGCCTCCTCCACCCAGATCTCCCATCTTCCAGTAGCGAGGCATTACACCCACCAACTGCCCCCAGCGCCATATAATCCCATCAACAGCCAAGACCCAGAGACTATAAAACCAAGCTCTCTGATATCTCTTATTGTCTAGTTCTTACTCTTGGAGGACTCAGCAGGCTACCGAGTGTATCCTTCCTGCATGACAGAGTCTGGCAAGCTCCCGGTGGCATATCTGATATGCCAAAACCCAGTAGCAATGATGGGTCTCATTCCCCTGACCCTGAAAGAGCCTCCAATGTGGCACCTGCTAAAATCTCAGGGCTAGGACGAATGGAGACATTACTGGTGCCTGCTTGAGGAAATTGATGAACAATGGGATGACAGTGATACAGTGAATAAAATAAAAATAAAATATTATAAAAATAAAAATAATAAATATATAATAAAATAAAAGTTTTAAAATTATATTTAAATAACCAGATCCTAGTTTCTTTGACCCTTTGTATTATTTTCTTATCATTTATTTTTATTCTAATTTTTATTATTTACTGCCTCTGCTCATTTGAGATTTATTTACAAGATTCAACCACCAGACCATAGACTGATGCCAGTCTGCGGGTATAGAAAGTTTGAGTACTGGCCTCTTACCTTGGCTATGACTGTTGTACCTGTAGCAGCAGGCAAGACAGGTGCTGTTCGACAGGAGTAAAAAGGTTGAAAATCTTTTTTTTTTTTGTGGAAAACTGTATGGAGATATTTCAGTAAACCAAGAATTGAGCTGTCCTGTGACTCAACAACTCAACAACTTCAATTTTGTTATCTACCACCAGGACACACAAGAATTCATTCACAAAAAGACATGCACATCATGATCCATTACAGCACTTAGTACATTAGCTAAGATATGCAATCAACTTAGGTGCCCAATGATAGGTAAGTGGAACATGAAGTGTATTTATGAAAAATGGAATATTATGCAGTTGTAAGAAATGATAAAATAGTGCAATTCACTGCAAGATGGATGGAGCCCATGGTCACAGAGTATAGGGAGGAGAAAGAAAGAAATTGAGAGAGCAAGAAAAAACAAATGAGAAGCAACAGGGAACAGGGGTCAAGGGGATCAGAGTTCATCGGTGGTATAAAGGAACAATAGAGCAAAATATGCAAACAGCACAGTCAACAATACTGAGAACAAGATAGCTAAACCTCAATAACTAAACTTAAAAATGTAGGCCAGAACAATAATATAGTGCGCAGGGCACTTGCCTTGAATGCGGCTGACCTGGGTTTGTTCCCTCACATCTCTTGTGGTATACTGAGCATTGCCAGGAGTAACTCCTGAGTGTGGAACCAGAAGTACCCCCTGAGCATTGTTGGGTGTGGCCCCAAGCAACATTAGGTATGTCAAAGTGGCAGGCTTGGGATGTGGGATGGTTGGGAAGGATCCTTGGAACCTTGGTGAAGGGAAGAAGATAATAATGTTATCTGGGTGCTGAAACATAGTAGGTTTAAAACCTAACAATGAATGATTTTGTAAATCATGGGGCTTTAATAAAAAAATTTTAAAAGATTATAACATGACAAAAAGTTTGTGTTTTGGGTGTACAGTTTTATTATATCACACTTACTAAAATGCCACTATCCCTCCACTACTATCTCTATTTATCTCCCCTTCCATATGCCGCACTCTCATAACCTTGGTTTGTCATCAAAGTCAAAAGGTTTGTTTTCATCAGACATTTTCTATTCCCTTTCCATACATACTGAATTCATTACTACCAACTATTTCCACAATTGACCTTTGCCCATTATGTGACAGCTTTTAATGTGTACCTTAATTTTACAATTCTAGGGCAACTTGCAACCGCAGGTGTTCGTGTTCTGTTCTGCTCCATAAGCACTTTATACCTTTCTTGATATTCTTTTAACAAATAGGATTAAATGTTCTCAGCTCCTCTGCCTGCTGCCAGACCTTCTCTTTTAGTTCTCTGAAGGACCTAGCCTGCAGTAATAGCCCTTTCTTATAAAGTTTTGTTCGTGAATTGAAACCTGAATAATTAATTTGGCTCAATTTGTGACAGAGCTGTTCAACACTCATGGCACTCTCTGTCCTTCTGCTAAGACTTTGTTTTGTTTTGTTTTGCGTTCATGTTAGCAGACTTAAAGAAGGCTTCCTGTTCAAATGCTGCAAAAGCCAACCTACCAAAATCAGGACTTCGTCCTCCTGGATACTCGAGGCTCCCAGCAACCAAGCTGGCGGCATTTGGGTTCGTCCGGAGCTCCAGCGTGTCCTCTGTGTCCAGCACTCAGTCTTCAGATAGCCTGCAGCCTGAGCAGAGCAGGATGAACCGTAAGTCAGGCTGCTGGGTGGGTGGACAGGTGCGACCTTCCTCCGTGGAGACACTATTCCTGCGACCTGAGAGCCACAGAAAGGGAATCAGCTCATTGAAATCACAGTATCATATTTTCTTTGTGTGACAAACTAGGAATTTGGGTCTTTACTATGATTGGAATTCAGCAAACAGTGGGGAAAGAAGAGTATTTGGCACCACCGTTTTTTCAGTTGTAAGGAGTTCACATGCCACAAGAACACTTTGAAAATACCCTTAAATGTAGATGGCAACTTATTTTTAGGGATTGATTCCTGAAATTCTTTGCTGCATGAATTCAAGGTGACATCAAAGATCCTAAAACGGTGTTAGCACACAGTGCTATCACAAAATATACTAGCTATTAAGTACTAGTGGAAAGAACTATTCCAGTCATCTCTGATTGCTGTATTTGCTTTCATCTTGGTGCAGCCAGTCCTTGACTGGCTAGGTAAAAGTTACTTGAAAGTTTCTCATTTTTTAAAAACAATAGCAAAGCACAGCTGATCTTCAAGTCTGTGTCCAGCAACATCTTCCAAGAAGAGGCGATTCCACTCCAGAGAAAGGGTGGAGACTGAATTTTATTTTAAAGTATGAGTTCATAGTTTTAGAGTAAAGCACAACATTTTCCCTCTGCCCCTGAAGGATATCTTGTGAGCTTTGATGAGCAAACCTCATTGCAGCTTCACTGCTTCAGAATCATTGTTCTTGGACTTAAGACACTTCAGATGTCTGTTAATCAATAACTTGCCAGAGACCAGGAAAGTGTTAAAGGTTCTCATGTGGGGAAACATTTTGGATCAGTTATAATAGCACAATGACACTGGAGTAGCAATAGGCTTGGTGGAGGTGGGGTGGGGTGGGGGGCTTTCAGGGCACATAAGAGAAAGGAGATTGAGGATTTGAGGATGAGATTGAAAACATTTTCTTTCTCCAGGCCTGTTCTTTATCTATAGTTTCTTGGGTTTACAGAGATAACGTACAGAACATTTATACTTTCACAGTTCTAAACATTGAACTAGCTAATTATTCCTTAAAGCTATATATTGCGTTGATGTGTACTTGTATGCCATTCCTCAGAGGCGGTTTGCTTCCTGTTTCCTTTTCTTCAAAATACTGTGACTCAGACCCATTCTCGCCTACTCATTTTAGGAATATCACTGCTGTTAGGGATTCAGCATGGCACAGCAGATAGCTACAACTTGGAAATAGAAATAAAGAACTATTTTCAAAATTTTGAAGATATGCATGTTCATATTAATAGCCTAAGGATTTTTAAAGACTAGAGCAACTGTTTGTCTTCAGATTTAGTAGTAAAATTCCCATCGGTATGTTTTTATAGTTTTTGATTCTCTCCTTCCCTCCCTCTCTCCTCCCTCCCTCCCTCCCTCCCTCCCTCCCTTCCTTTTTTCTTTCTCTCCCTCCCTCCCTCCCTCCCTCCCTCCCTTCCTTCCTTCCTTCCTTCCTTCCTTCCTTCCTTCCTTCCTTCAGTTTTAATTTTTTTTTTAAATCAACTCCAAAATGAGTTGCACCTTGTCTCCATTGCCAGAGATTTTGCTAGAAAAGAGTTGACAGGCATGGATAGAATAATTCCAAGCATGCCAGTGCATTTTTTCTCAGCTTTACTTCAAAGGATATAAGATAGGGAACCTCTGATTATATAGAGAGATTAAAGTTGTCCTGTGTCAGAGAAGAAAACAAACAAACAAAAAATATATATGGGGTTTTTTTTGAATTCTGGCCTAATCTTGAGGTCTTTAATCCAGATTGAGTCAATTTTTATAAATGGTGTAAGACACTGCTCTACTTTCACTTTCACTTTTTTACCTATGATTATCCAGTTTTTCCAATACCATTTATTGAAGAGAATTTCTTTTTCCTACTTCATGTACCAAAATCCTTTTTCCTACATTAACTGTCCACAGGCTGGAGTGATGGTAGGGTGTTTGCCTTGTGCGCGGCTGGCCCCATCGAGCCAGGTTCGATTTCTCTGCCCCTCTCAGAGAGCCTGGCAAATTACTAAGAGTATCTCGCCCACATAGCAAAGCCTGACAAGCTACCCGTGACGTATTGGATATGCCAAAAACAGTAATAAGTCTCACAATGGAGATGTTACTGGGCCCACTCGAGCAAATCAATGAACAACGGGAGGACAGTGCTACCGTGCTACAGTGTTAACTGTCCATAAATATGAGGGTTTATTTCTGGACTTTCAGTTGTATGGTGTTTGCCTGACAATCTATACTGTGTCATGCTTAAATTTGTATGGAACCGTTGTTTCTTATTTTAATATAGTAAATAAACAGGTAGATATATAATTATAGTAAATAAATAGGTAGATTTATTCTGAGAATTAAAATATGAAGTATAAAATTACCATATTTTTTCAAGGTTAATAAATGAAAATGAGGTTAATAAATAAATGAATTTGGTAGCTTTTTGCAATGTAACGTCAGTGTTTGCAATCATGAATAGTATCAAATCATTTGCATACACAGTACACTTGATTTTCTATGTCTGACATGCATTTTAAATAAGATTAGAGTTGACAAGAAATATTATTAATATCTCCTACTGAACATCCATTAACCTTGTGTTCTACTGGCAAAGAGGGAGTCATTTTTTATTTATGAAAAAAAGGAGCTGGAAAGGACCCATGAGGTCAGAATTCAGAGAAGCTATTGTTTACTTGAGATTAAGCATTAATGATATCATTTCAAGATAGACAAATGATCTGGTCCACCCAGAGATTGGATTAGAGTGTAAATGTGTTTGGTACTTTTTTTTAGAAATTTGACTGTTTATAGTTTTTCATTTGTGTTATAGAACAATGTCTAGTTGAACCATCTCATAATTTTTGTCTGTCTGGGCTTATGTGCATCACTTTGTTTTCCCTTCCCTTACTGCACCCTTGGCGTCTGTTTTGGAGCAAACAGGGAACTTAGTGCTGGGGTTTCTGTTACAGGAGGACACCAGGATCCTCACCCCTGAGAAGTTGGAATCCAATGTGGCGATAGGAGTGTGCAAATATGTGCATGCAGAAAACACTTAGTGTAGCTGGTTGGACTCAGGGCAGCCAATGTTTGGTGGGTGAATGGGTAAACAAGGACAGGAAGGAGAGGAGACTTTACGCATCATAACTTGGCGCAGGGAACAAGGAAAGACCTCATACCTCTCTCGTCCTGTTCAGTGCTACTGCATTTTGTGCTCAGATTTAATTTATTTCATACTGACCTTAGTTAATTGCAATAGTTGAATTTTTGGTAAATTGATCCAGTAAAATAAGTAACAAGAAAAAATAGAGGGGGATATAGATGAAAAAGAGGCAATTTTAAAAGTGACCCTTTAAACTTGATGAAACTACTAAGGATTTATTATACTATTTACATCATTTGGGGGGGTATGTTTGGAAATTTCCAATTTTAAGAAAAGGTAAAGGTAAAGGTAAAGGCCCTCCCGTTGATCGTCGATTTGCTCGAGCGGGCCCAGTAACGTCTCCATTGGAGACTTTGTTGTTACTGTGTCTGGCATATCGAATACTCTGGGTAGCTTGCCGGGCTCTCCGAGATGGGCGGAGGAATCGAACTCGGGTCGGCCATGTTGGCCGCTTGTAAGGTGAACGCCCTACCTGCTGTGCTATTGCTCCATCTTCTCTGTCTTGACTTTTATTCGTTGAGAGCAGTATGTGATGGTATGTGATGATAATGACTGGCATATTTAGAAGTAGACTGCATAGATCCGCATCCCTCCTTTGCCATTGCTAGCTCTGTGACTTAGGGCAAGTTAATATCTCTCAGACTCTGATTCTTAATTGTAAAGCAATACTAATATAGATAAGTCTTAAATGTTTAAGACAGTAATTATGATTAAAATTGATATATGCTATAGCACAGTGGGTAGGGCGCTTGCCTGGCACGTGACCGACCTAGGTTCGATCCCCAGCATCCCATATGGTCCCCCAAGCACCACCAGGAGTAATTTCTGAGTGCAGAGCCAGGAGTAACCTCTGGGTGTGACCGAAAAAAAAGCAAAAAAATTTTGATATATGCAGAGTGTTTATAATAGAATCTTATATCACGAGATTGAGGTGATGAAGACGACGAGGAGGAGGATGTTGTTATTTCTGTAGTCATTTTCATCATTAGCAATGAACATTAAATTCTATATAAGAAAGAGTTAGAACCTCATTTGGATAAGAGGTCTGGTACATTGTAATCAAAGTGGTACTGACGACTCAACTTGGGGATAATATCTCTTTTATTTCTGAATTTTCATAATTTCTTTTCTCATGTATGGTGAATACTTTAAAACATTAAGCTATGACATATTATTTATGAAATGTTAAATGGTAAGATGGCAATTCTAGAAACAGATCAGTTGATTTCAATGGGAGTGGAAATCACTTTTTTGAGTGATAAGCTTTATTTTTTGAGTGATAACCTTTATTTTTAAGCTTTAGTTGAGGATATTTATAAGATAGAGCCAGGGAAAGTCGTGTTTTCATTTATGATTCTGCCTTATCCTTACTGTGTTATAATTGAAGAAAAAAACATTCTGTTGGGCTTCCTTTTAATGAAACATTTATGCAAGTGACTAATACACAGCACATTATTAAAACACAATGGCATTTAAAACCTCTACTAAAAATAGAAATTGATAGTTGGATCTGATTTTTTTTGACTTTCTAATGTCTGCTGGGGGAAAAAATGGGAACATTTGCTTTTACTGCATGCAGAAGAGCTTCCCATGGTTTCTCATTTTGTTGAGATCTGATTTCATTGTACTACAGTTTTTCTTTCAGAAGTCTCAACCCATTAGGATGGATGGGAAAAAGAGAAGAGTGAGATGAGAAGAGAAACAGAAATAAGATATTATTCCCAAGTTGGAAGTTTTGATTTTCTCTGGAAATGAGAAAGTCAAGCAAATGTCACTGGTGGATTTAAATATCTGTCCCTGGAATCTGTAATTATATAATTGAAAG